CAGTATTTAACTCATGACCATTAGAATTGCTGATAATTTTTCGTGCATTATCCCTATACCAGGATGCCCAAGCGTTCATGCTAAGTTTTGAATAAGTCAACATTCTGAAAAATTACCTTGTACGCAACATGTGGTACGGGTTTGATGTATGTGTAGTACAATCCGAACGGAAAAAGGGAAAATTTTCAACAATTCGTTTGTCATATCCGCTATTTTTAGTAACAAGGAGAATTTCCTCATTATTGTCATCACGGGTTTCTATATGAAAACCATTTTGACGGATATCTCTATAACTTAATAAGGTACGCTTTGAATCGGGATACAATAATGCATCCTCAATTGTAATTTGGGTACCCATGAGGAGTACAATAGTGGCACGACCAATGCCAACTATTGTAGCATCGCGCCCGACGATTGTCAAAACATTTCTTTGTCTTTTTGTAAGAGTTTGGAAATACTTTGTTTCTCTAAGTATAGAATTAGTGGTACCACTGTCCACTAGGCATAATTCCTCCTTCATCAAATTGACCCCCATAGAAACTCTATATAAATAAAGAATTTGATATGAAACTCTTTAATGATATATAGAATACATACTTTAATTATTGAATATCAAATGTGTACAATATATTTATTGGGTATTCAAACTAAATAGTGATGACATTATTAAATGTTTACAACACATAGGACATAAATTATTTTAACTATTATAATCACTAGGACATAAAGACATTAGAATCTAAGAGATTGTGAGCCTATTCAAAGTCTCCAAATATATCGTTAGATGCATATTCCACGATCATATTCCCCGTATCAGCAAGATCCTCGCTTCCTCGTATGTTGTTGTTGCTTGGTTCCATTGAAACTTGTTGTGAACAACCAACCTCATTCCTAGTGGTGTCAGCTTCATACTTCTGTCCTGGTGCAGCACGTCCACGACCCATAGACTTTAAGTAGAGATCAACAAGATGACTTGGGGTACGATATTTCTTTGTAGTATGGCTATGACCACCACACTTCTGACACAGGTTTGTCATTCCTGTATTTAGAAATGTTCTTACCATTGTTGGAAACACGAGTTTGTGATTTCTTATTGCATCTGCGTTGTTTTTTATCTTTCTTGGAATTTCCCTGAAGATGGGTCTTAGAAAGTCTGCCATCAAATTTGGGTTTATTCTGAGTGTAGGCATGTACTTCAGGCAATGGAGCAGACCCTACGGGGCGCTGCTGATTATTCCAAACCATAAGTTCAGAATATTTTTCGGCCTCAAGTAAAGTTTGCATAAGCTCAGAATAAACCTAGAAACATCTTTCACGGTATTGTTGTTGAAGAATCCTTTCAGAGGAAAGCATAGTAGACAGAGTCTTTTCTATTTTATCCGCATCTGTAGGTTCTTTCTCGCAGAATTGCAACTTTGAGCAAATCCTATGAACAGCATGGTTGTAATCACTCACAGTTTTAAAATCCTGTAAGCGAAGTTACGCCCACTCATAGTTGGCTGCAGGCAGATAACGTGTTGAATGTGAATGTAAATGAACAGAAATTTTAAGAACAACTGTCTGTTTCATTGATCTCTTTGGATTGTATACAAGTGAAGGGTTACGTTGTATGGACACCGTACGGACGTCGTACGGGCATGGCTGTTCGGGAAAAGGCAACTGTTCACTGGAACAGTCTACTGTCGAAAAGACATGCCCTTTCGTAATGCTAACTGCTTATACTAACTAACTGCTAATTATCTCCCTCTGTTGATAAGATCACTGAGTAGTATAAAGAGGTGTCTGAGAACGGACACCGTTTCGTAACAAAAAGGAGAGAGTAGGTCCTTAATTAGATTATGATTTCTTGTGCGGTAGTATATATGCGTTGCAGGCCGGCCTCCATATCCATGGTATAAATACTAATCAGAATACGTACATAACACGGTGATACCAAAACCAACTGTTGGAATCTTTCTCCTGGGTTCATGCACAATCAAACTGCTTCATAACTCGTGGATTTACCATCAGAGCATGTGTAACATACTAAATGTACCCTTTCGAGTATAATGAAATAAGTCCGGTATGCATAAGTTAGATTCTTTGTGCCAGTATCTTACCATCTAAATTGAAGTCCTTAACTAGGTACGTTAGAACAGAAAAAAAAAATCTCCCAAAAGAGGGCTAGGTTGGGAAGCAAGAATTTCACCAAAAAAGAAGAAGCAATTTTCAGAGGAGTTCAATGAGATCTTGACATTAGAAAATAGGACGTGTGTTTAGCAGCGAGAAATGTTTTAGATTAAAATAACTAAAATCATTGCCAAACACCATAAAGAGAGAAACATTAAAAAAGAATCAATTGAAACTAATTCTCATCCTTTTACTGGCCCAGAGAAACACCCAAAAACTGGTTTCTCCCTGGGCGAGCTAGCCAAACAGTTCTACGAAAGTGATTTTGATTCACCAGAGAAACATTTTTAAAGAGAATATAGAGAACTAAAAAATATTTTGATTCCATCATTTGAGGTTATTCATATTATGAGCTATGTGCTAAAAGTTAATACCACTAAAAAAATTGGCCTCGTTCGGCTTACCCCATATTCGGCTTATTTTTTCAGCCGGAACAGTGTTTTTCTCTCACAACAATTCAGCCGAAACAGTATTTTCAGCGGGGCCATTATCTTAAAACTAGTAATTATACTGCTGAGGTTGTCCTTAGTCGGTACATTCAAAATAAATTAATGTGGATCTGGTAAACACTTTCAGTTGAGTTGCATCTGAGATGCCTTGTACTCCATGGAAGAGTATAGTATATAAAAGGACCGGCGATGATGTCAAGATGTAATTGTTTACTACAGATTTTAATTCCCTGTCATTGATCGTGTCAATTTTATACAATTTGCATTCACATCGACCAGATCTGATTTGAACTTTGTATATGTTGTTAGGTGAAGATTCTGGGATAGCCGGCTCAAAAACAAATTTGAGTACGGGACCCGAAATCCTTTTCTTCTCCCCTGGCCCTACTAGTAGCGACTACAATTCTCTTCTCTATGACCGATGCACGCTCACGCAGTCATATTTCATCCTACACCACTCTAGGCATATATATGGTATAGGCACAAAATCGATAGATAACTATGTCACGCCTATGTTTCTTTTTCCCCCCTTATAGGAAAGGAATTTTTCAGAAAGGAATTGGAGTTTATGGGTGTTTTCCCCACTAGCTCCGGAAAAACATTGCAACGGGAACTATGACTAATGAGTCAGCTCCCATCCAACTTTTAACAAGGGCAATGCTGATCCCGCTTTGAACGAAGTGCGGCAGCAAATGCCCGTCGAATTGGAATCCTTATCTTTGTCATCAAAGCTGTTAATGCACATTTCGTCCAGATATATACGTGACTATAGTAGTAGGATGCTGCATTTAAAAATTAAAATGCAACTATATACACCTGAAATAAATCCACTATTTACTAACATGAAGGTTGATGAGGGTGGTGAATTTAACATAGAATTAAGTGTAAGCTTTGTCAAGAACAAAAGGTGAAGAAAAAAAACGAAAAGCACCCCCAGCTTAGCTTAGTGTTCTATTCCAACTCGCAGACATATTATCCAGGAGACCCATGTTGATATAATAAAAAATCAAGATGCAGCAAGCACAATACGTGGTTCACTTGCAGCTGACTGATGTAGAACAGTCTCTATTCCTGAGAGCATGCAATCCCCACCGATTCAGCATCCACAACATAATCCTGAGAGAACCAAGACCAAAGCAAACAGAGTTGGGGAGTGGGGAAAAAGGAACAGCAAGAACACGAAATAGTGCATTGGGGGAAAAAAGGATGGAAAAAGGTAACCCAAACAAACAACATATACAATACAAGGACTGGGGACTTTATGACCAACTATGAGGTAGGCATTTGAGGGTGCCACTCTAACCATGAGGATAGCATTATTTACCACATCCATGGACTCATACCTCCTTCATAAAATGAACTGACTTCCCTCAAAACATACTCCAATGCCAACCCCCTTGAAAAACCTGCACAGGTTTTCCAGTATGACCACCAATCACAAGGGTAAGGACGTAAGGTGCAACAAACAGTGCTGACAAAAGCAGAAACAATAAAGTGAAGCAAAATAGAAAGATCTAACAATGCAATTGTTTCAAGATTCACAGCTTATCTCTGGAGATATCAAGGCACACCACTCGAATAACGGATCAATTGCCTCACATCAGTCACTTACACTGGCTTCTGAGGCAGAACCCTGTCACCCAGAAAGGGGGGGAAAAAGAGAAAAACAAAACAAACAAACAAACGAAAAATAATGAATGCCAGGGTTGTTATACTCATATATACCAACTTTAGGTAGACTGGACAAAATTAAGCAGCAGACAAGATGATATATAAAACCTAGAATCACAATTCCATGTGACTGTCAAAAGATAAGAGTACAAGTATTTGTATAGCAAGTCAAACTTTTTGAACCATTGCTGATACAAGATACAAAAACTGAACTTCAAGCAAACTAAGTGCATCAGAAGGTGTTTGCAGTATGTAGACAAGCATATTTTGACCATTTTACTAGCCAAAGCATTTGAGTTCAAATGCAAGAGCCTAGAAGATAAGTTGTTTATAGTCTTGTATATGGACTTTACTTGAGTAAGTGTGCACTCCCTTGTATCTTCAACCGACATCCCAGAAATGTGCTCCAACAACTCTTCATGGAACCATGAGCCTGAAACGACAAATATATGGTTGGTTTCTACCTCACTGTATGAAATCTCCTTACAAGCTCCAGCGTTACATTTAGAAGTTTGCTCCAAGGAGCAAAACTCGAGTTAATGAGGAATACATTTTAATATATCAGATGAGCACTCCGAACAGCACTCAAGTTCTCCGAAGATCTTCATACCCTGCAAATAAAACTCCTAAATCAGAAAGATAATAAACACCAGTTCAGCATTCTCCATCGTCAATCAATCTGTAAACAGCCAACTAATGATACAGCAGCCATCATATAGCAGATTCTGCAGCGCCCCCTAAAGAGCCATCTAATCCAGTTTCATGTTTCCCATTAAGGTCAGCTACAGCAGAGCCCACATCATTTGCTTCATCAACTTCCAACCCAACTTCATGTCTACATTTCTTATGGTTACTACTATTGTTGTTCAGAATTTCATCTTCGGATACTGTTGAGCTCCTCTTCTGTGCAACAGCATTAGTATCCACTCTTTTATCTTCCACTGGATCTTTTACAGACCTTTCATCTTTGTCACCTCTATTGCTTCTATGAGATCTTTCCCCTTCATCCTTTACTGAACTTTCATCTTTGTCGCGTCTGCTACCTCTATGAGATCTTCTTTTGTCATCTTGAATCTCAGACTTTCTGCTGTCCTTTTTGTCACTGTGACGATGCTTTCTGTCAGGAGATCTGGACCTGGAATGCCTGCTATGGCGAGAATGACGATCACGAGTTGGTGATGATTTGCTTCCCTTATGATGTCGTGGTGATCTTGAACCAGCCCGAGCTGACCTTGATTTTGATGGGCTTAAACTTTCTTCTCTTTGTTTCTTGGGTGACCTAGAGTCACCTCTGGAGGGCTTCTTATGCCTTGGAGGACTTCTACTTTTGCTTCTGTTCCTCCTTGAACTAGATGAATGATGATCACAGGATCGTTCACTCTCCCTTCTCCCGGACCTGCTATACCTGTCCTTATCATCCCTATGCGATCGATCACTACCATACTTTGAGTGGCGAGATCTTGATGGTGATCGTGATCGGTGCTCCCTTGAGCGTCTAACTGGGGGGGAGTAGGAGCGGGATCGCCTGCTCCTACGGTACTTGATAGGTGATCTTGACCGAGATTTTGATCTGCGTGTAGGGGGTGATGGTGATCTGTAAATCATATAAACTGGTCAGGCTTCAGCACACAATATGTATAGGAAGGAAAAACAATCAATGACTTCCTTAGTTCCTTTCTTCCCTAAAGTTTTAATCTCGAACACAAAAGAGAGCTGTGTATCATTATCATTATATTAAGAAGAAAGAAAAGGGTACAAACCATACAACCACACACTACACTGCCCAGAGGTTTAATCAAAACTTGCCTTTCTTTCCTAAAGATGAGAAACAACTAGAATACAAAAATATAACAGGCAAAATTCCATCTACTAATGCAGCCAAACCAAAACTACAAAAGTAACACTGCTGCAAGTTCCTATGCAGAGGTCTCTTTCACTTTATTGCATAAATAAACTATACTCAATGAAGATATATAACAGAATAACTATGGAACATATAAACCACAAATGATTTGAGACAAGAATGGTACCAGACTTGGGCATAACATTGATTCCCTCTATAGCTATATCAATTTTTAATCCAAGATTTACTATCCCTTACATAACTCAACGATAAATTCTTGAGTATGCACAAACTCTCCCCATTGCGATGTAACATAAAACATACATATACATGGCAGACCATATGCCAAGAGACAAAACACATGATTTGAATCTAAATCAATCTCTTCAGAATGATGGATGAGTTTTCAAATAGCAAATGCCAAATCTCATGCATACCTCTATCTATAAAGAGGCAAAATTTCCGGCCATTTTTTTCATCCATCGTCCCCTAACAAACTTTGTGAATGTGAAAGTTGTCTCTCTTCATGTCTGTCTATAGCTCTCATGTTTTATATATATATGACATATGTATAACATCCTGAAATAGCCAGAATATAAGTAGGAATCCTAATCCAAATATAAGATATGTTGATCGGATTCCTTTTGTGTTTGTTTTGGAAAGTAAGGCCCCATATGTCGTATACGAACCGAACTCACTCACGTTATTAATTTGCTGGTGTTAAAAGGAAGCAACTTAGGTTTGTTAATTATTTACTTTTGCCTTTTGCCAACATGTGTGCAGGAGCATAACGGGTTTAGGGCACACAAAAGAGGCAAATAGAGTCCAGCTGCATAGGAAACCTATATTTTAATCTTTTTTATTTTTTATGTTGTGTTATTTATTATTACTTTTCCCGTCGTACTTCTGGAGAGACCCGTCCTCGTACGTCCAGAGAGGCCCGTCCAATTCTATTTTTGTCAATTTTATTTTTCAGTTTTATTTTTTTCATTGTACGTCCGGTAAGACCAGTGCGATTCTTTTTTTTTTTTGGACAGAACACGAGCGAAAAGAAAAGTGACTCTGCTTCTCACATCTCCGTGATGGACTCTCTTTATGAAATCCGACAAGATACAAGTATCGCCCCTATTTTTCCATATCTCACATGGATCCTGACCTTTCTCCAAAATCAAATACAATACATCAAGGTGGTAAATAAATAACAGATGCAGCTCGAGCTGCTCGGCGGTCCACCTATGCGTCCAGATCTTGGAGATCTTCACAGCCGGCAGTTAACCTTTGCCCATCTCTTTAAATCATATTTCTATCCCTAATAACAAAAAGACAAATTTTCTGGCCGCTTTGATTTTTGTCCAGCCCAACTATTCACTTGGTTTTGGCCTAAAACTGGTCGGACTCGTGTTGGGCTTCCGAGTTGTATTCGGCCCGTGACTTTCCTTTTTTTCCCCTTATCCTATTCCAATTCCAATCGCACGCACGCTGTGCCTTCGTACGCACACGCCGCACGCCGCTCCGAGTTCGCCGCCACAGGTACGCGCGCCCATTTGCGCCGGTCTCCCGGTGGCCGACGGCCGGCGCTCGCCGGCCACAGACCCGCGCCCTCCCTCGTCGCACCCATCCCTCTCGGCCTCCCGGCGGCTGGCGCTCGCAGTCCACGGCCCCGCTCCCTCCTCCGCCGTGGTGGCGTCGTTGCTTGCCGGACCTCGCACGCGAGGCACATCCGTCTCGGCCTCCCAGTGTCCAGACAGAATCGATTTGGTTCTCCATGATGTATTGGATTCAGATTTCTCTTCTGCTTTTGTCTAGGATTTTTTTCAGATCCGGCATGGACGAGGGTGAATCGAGTCTTCTGGTGGGGGTCTGTGCGGTCTCTCTGTTGGTGGCGGCAACAATGCAAGGGGACGTCATGGGCGTTGTTACCATCGTCGGAGTCGCGGACATGGGGCACAGCATGGACGACGGCATCATAGTGCCTCTGGCACCATCCCCGGTGCCTCCATCCGCATCTGCCTCCGCCGGATGCAAGCAATCCGATTATGGCTCAGCTCTGTATGTTGATTATGGCTCAAGCCGCGGGGCGATGTGACATGGAGGTGGATAGGGAGATGAACTGGCTGCTGCCGTTCCGCAAGTCTGTGCACTTGCACGCCGGCGCGGAACGGCATGGGACAGCAGCAGGCCGGTGCCAAGTGGTAGGACGTCGTGGTGAAGGTGCAGCCGAGGATCCATAGCAACGGTGAGGCAAGCACAGAAAGCTTTTGATCTGTTTCTATTATTTTTTTTCTGCACGTTGATGCCAGTGCATTTTTTGGTTGGACCAAAGGGGCCTTGCAGGTGCCTGACGCCGTGACAACATCACTATGTCAATTGCATTGCGGCGAATCCTATGCTCTGATTGCACTGTAGGCACGAGCTATCTCCCTGCCGCCACCTCCACCGATGGCTACAGCAGTGGCTGCTCTGACGGAGTGCGGGGAAGGATCCAGCCTAGGTAGAGGCGGGCAATAGACACATTCTGCCTGATGGATGAGCAGCTGCGGGACTTGCCATTGCTGAAGGATAGGATCGATGAGGCCACTGAGACCGCACCCCACGTCTAAGGCTGCGAAGTCATCCAGGAGAGCAGCACCCCCCTCAGGCTGTATCTTTTTTTCCTGTCGTCCCTCACTCCCTCTCGCTAATCTATCCTCCCATGTCAAAATCCAATCATTAGGGCCTTCAGGGGCTTTCAAGATCCCTGTGGTTTAGTTAATTATCTTACATTTGACGACTTATTATGAATTGAATTCTTCCCAGTGTGATTTCTAGGCTACTGATTTCTTTTAGTTAAAAGTAGGCTTTTTGCTGATTTCTTTTAGTTAAAAGTAGGCTTTTTGCTTAATTAATAAGCCGAATAGTTGGTGGTAAGTAGTATCTTGTGATACAATGAATTTTAATGTCACGGCGAGGCGCCTAGACTCCTATAACTCTGCGCTAGCCTCCAGCACCCAGAAGAAAATAGGCGGCTGAGACAATCAAAGGCAACATGTATAAAATAGAAAGGTTTCTCTTGATGCCTGAATATGAATATTTATATCATGTTACTTAATCTGATGGGAATTGACTGAAATTTTTGCTTCAGCTTTTAATTCTTTTGCTAGGTTTAATGATCCCTTGCCCTTGATGTGTCAAGCAGTTTTGTAGCTGGTAACTCTGTCTTGTCATAATGTCCAATTGTCCATGCATTTTCCCTGCTTGTTTTAGACACTGCTGAAATCTGAAACAAGTAAAACAGAACACTGGTAGCAAGATGTATTATAGAGAAATGCTGATTCTTATCCGCTGCTCTTTTATCTGCATGGTTCAAAGTCTCCTATTTTTATTACTGCTGCTGGTTAAATTTATGTCAAAAGGTTCCTAGCACATATTGAGTTACATTGCTATACAAACAAACTTCATTTTGAGTTTCAGGGCAACACTTTCCACTAAATGCTTCTGTTTATGGTCAACAATAAGGCAAAAATGTACTATTCGTACAAAAAATGTATAATAAGATATTTGGTAGAAAAGTGTATAATATCATAATATTCTAGAATTTGACAAGACAAGCTTTGACTGGATGGTTGACCTGCTTTGTTAACCCATGGTTGAGCAGCATGATCTAATTAAATGTTTACTCCAGTTGTTGTGAATTGCATAAGCAAGGTCATTAGCTAATGGCATCCAATCAATAATAAGTACTTTTTTGGCATCTTTCTGTCTGGAAGAGGACACAGTTCCTAGTAGCAAAGTGAGAAGTTCCTCTTCTGCTAGATTGCACTTTTATAAGAAAAATGATATGTTAGCTGGCCTTTCGACACTTCAGCATTGAGTTTTGAAAAGAGTTATTTGTGACTGGTGCAATGAAAATTTTGCTTATTTCATTTTTCTGCTAGGACAAGTTTAGTTTGGATGCAAATGGACTGCACTTATTGATGGACTGTTTCGGTCTGGATTGCAAGAGGAAACAATTTAGTGTGGTCTAAGAATGGATTCATTTCTTCAGGCCCAAATGGTTTGAACTTTGAACCCTCTGGTTTTGATAGGGGAAAACAGGCAAAGGTCGCTACTTAGTTTTCCTTCCCCTTTTTTGCTAACTCTTTTAGTTTGTTGGCCCCAAATGTTTGGGTGGTGCATGTTTCACAATATTAGTTGGTGTTTAAATATCTGAAGAAAGGTTTTGATTTGCTTCTGATTGGGGATGGAAGGAGGTTTTAGAAATTGTCCAAGGTAATCACGCCAGTTTGGCGATGAGCATTTCTATCTTTTCATTTTTTACTCTTGTGGACTTGTGGAAATTGGCACTAGACCACATCCATCCAGTATCAAAAGGTATCATGCTTCTGACTTTCTAGAATCTGTGGTAAAGTAACTTACCTGCTTTGTTCTTAGAGATTCCAGTTCATGTGGTCATTTTTTTTTGAGGAAAAGTTCATGTGGTCATTGGTGAGTAGATTCTTTTGAGTATGCTTTCCTGAGACATTTTTTTTTTCTCTTCATGTGTTTCCTTACCATTCATGGCATTTCCAGAAGAGCCATGTTAGCTTTGTTTGTTTTCTTATGGTTCTAAGGTAGTAGTGTAATATTGGTCCTGATCGGGAACTGCTACTTCCAGGTCTGTTCTCTTATGGTTCTACGGTAGAGTATTGGCCCTGATCGGAACTGCTACTTCATGGTTAGCTTGAGCTTTGCAGTGACAACAAGAAGATCATCAGATCAGGCTGGTTATTTGGCTTGCATCAATACAATCTCTTCATAGATGCCCCATGTTCCTTTTGATTATAAGATACAAGGGGTCTACTGTTATTCTTTCCCCTCTCAATTCTTTGTGGATGCTCGGCTTGTTGCTCAGCCACTAACTAAATGAAATATTATTGACTTTATTTGGTACTTTCGTGTTTCTATAAGATTACCGCCGAGAGTCTGTTCAAGAACCTCACCCAGGAGAAGGCACTGATGTTTCCCCAGAATGATGAATTACTGTGGAAGTAGTGCAAGAAGTCTGGGGATTCCAATGATTAGCTTGGCCACGTGTATCACCGGAGTTTTGATAGTGGTTATTAGATTCTCAGTTGTTTCCTTATTTGGAAAATTGGAACATTGGCAGTTGTATCATTTGAACTTTGATTAAGGTTGATGGAGACACGGAGTTGCACTTGCACTTAGCCGCTTACCACCTGTGTTTGACATTCCAGTTGGAGACTACTATAACCGATGGTCCTTATCACCTTATTTCTCAGCCAAATCGATTTATTTTCCTCCCGTTGCAACGCACGGGCATATTTCCTAGTGTATACAAAAGAGGGAAGACTACAGCATATTCCTACACAAAAAATGGACCGACATTCTAGTGCCATCGCAATGTAAGTGTATACTAGAATCAAGTGAATGCAATCTTTCTGTGACAAAAATACTAAATGTACAATGACCACAGAACCAGAGAGGTGGGATACCAAGGTATAAGTCTATTTTTGGCCATCCAATTATTACTCTAGTTTGTATTTGGCCATGCAACTCTACAACCAGAAATCTTTGACCAATGAACTATCAATACCAGACAAATTTGGCCATCTAGCTGGTTTCAAAGGTGGATTTGTATTTTCTGAAATAATAAAAACTGGTTTGTTTTCTAAAAATTCATGACTAATTCATTTTATTTTAAATCAAAAGAAATATGAAAACTAGTACCAACATTTTTCTAAAAATATATCTAGCTCGCAGCCATGACCGTTGTTTATTTAAATCATCGTTTTCAGCTATACTAAACTTAAGATTGACCAAAAGAAATCCATATTCCAAATACAGTAGCAAATATGTTGGAGTCAAATTAAGAAAACTATTTTTGGAGGGCTAGCGATGCCATATACTAGTTGCAATGCCTAAATATGATCTATATATGTAGTGGAGCATGGCACCTGCGAGGTTTGTGCCATCTTCCAGATCTTTTGTTTACTTGTATCTGCTATGGATTCCATTGGTCAAAACCGGGTGTAATATAGTGCAAAATGATGATTTAATAAGAAACGAACATGACTACGAGCAATTAAACACTAGGAATAGGAACATATAAAATACAAACAGCTCTAAATATAGGACCAATAGATAGATTATAGTTTTTAGGGAAAAAATGGGAACTGAATTCATATTTTCATATTTAAATATGAACTTTTATAAAATTTGTACTTTTTATCATTTTAAAAAATACAAAACCACCTTAAAATCAGCTAGGTGGCGAAGTTTGTCTGGTATTGATAGTTCGATGGTTAAAGTCCCGGATTTAGAGTTGCATGACTGAAAACAAACTCAGACAAAAGTTGGATGGCCAAAAATGGACTTCTCCCTATTATTTAATTATTTAAGTTATATAAAATCCTAGATGTGTAGCCGTCAATCAGGGTAGAATTGAAGATGAGTAAGAAACGTACCTTGACTTCCCTTTGGCATCTTTTCCTTCGATGTTGTCCCCACCAAAGCCCTCCGCCTTCAACTTCCTGCTTATCTCAGCAGCCCTTGCTGCAGCTGCTTCAGTGGCAGATTTCATGGTGGCGGCGCGTGCAGCAGCCTGTTGGGTTGCTATTGACTGTTGCATCATTAGTGCCTGCTGGAATTGCATCTGCTGCAACTGAACAGCTTGCTGCATCATCATGGGCAAGTTATTATTTGCTTTAGGAGGAAGAGACTTAGCCATTTCCACATTCAATGGACGACCACCAACATTCTTGCTATTGAGCTCCAACGCTGCAGTTGCTTCTTCAGGTTTGGAGTACTCGACATAAGCAATGTGCTTTGAATCTGTGGTGGTACAATCAACGACTTTACCACATAACCCAAATAGCTGCTTAATATAATCCACAGTAAGAAGTGGACTCAGGTTGCTAATTTGAACTGTTCTCTTCAGGGCATCAGCTTCATCGGCTTTGTTTATTGAGCCTGCAGTGATAAAATATACAAGTGAGCAACAAGACCATGGACAAGAAAAATAAAATGTTAATCACATTTTCAATTTAGAGTTGCATACTGAAATAATTTCAGCTGCTGCAAATTACAGTAATGGAATATCCGGTAAGCAGCTTAAATTAAAAGAAACAAATTTGCAGAGAGCTCACAACTAAATTTGCTTTGTAGGGTTACCATCTTAGCCAGGTGTAAGATATATAGTTATCCATGGCACATATAAATATAAAGGAAAAAAAGCAACAGCAAACAACCATTAGCAGCACAAAGCAACAGTCACAATACTGCAATAATGCTACAAGTCAGATGCTAGATTTATTTACAAACTAACTAACTAAGCATGTTGATCAGTCTGAGCTTAAAACATTACAAATCTATAGGCGAGAACAACAGCCTCCTTCCTTTCTGTTACTAGTTCAACACTGGATTTAAAACGTCATGAATTCCTTTACATTACTAGTTCAACAATGGATCACCTAGGAAAATCAAGTTTAAAAAACTTTAATACATGTCTGGGAAGAATCATCACCTGAAGCCCCACCTGCGGCCTTGGCCTGAGCAGCATGTGCCTGCAGTGCCTGCGCAGCCATGATGGCCTGAGCAGCTGCCATGGCAGCCGCAGAGGGCGCCAAGGGCGCATGCCCAAGAGCATTGACAGAAGTCGTGGCGAGCACCGACATCAGCAGCTGTTGCGGTGGGTGCATGAACTTACAGTCAGTCTCCACCTTTGTGCACTTCCCACTCATGTAGTCCCGGCATATCTCCCCCAGCGAAGCACCAACCCCTGGCAGGATGACTCCGCCCGGGGAACCAACAGAGGAACTAGGCATGACCCCGAGGAGGCTGGGGAAGGCACTGGAGGGCGCGCCTGTGTAATTGGGCATATTAGGCATGGTCTGGTTGACCATGTTGGGGTAGGCAGAGCTGACCGCAGGTAGCGCGGTGGGGAAAGCGGCCGCTGGTGTGGCGGTGGAGCCGCTGAAGAAGACGGGGAAGGGGCTCCCCATGACGGGGGCGCCGTCGAGCTCGATGTGTACCATGTAGTTGCCGCGCTTGGGGACGACGTAGGTGACCGTGTAGGATCCGTCCCCGTTGTCCTTGACAGCACCCTCGAGATCGTCCCCGCCGACTCCCGCGGCGGGCGAGACGCGCACGCGCACGCGCGCCCCGCCCGCGGTGAGCCTCCGGCTGTGGCGGTCCTTGGCGACGACGGTGAAGGTGGAGGGCGTTCCGGCGGAGCCGCCAGCGATGCCGGGCCCCGCGGCGGAGCACTTGGACGGGTCGACCGGGCCTGGCGGGGCCGGGGCATCGTCGTCGGACTCGGGGGAGGTGGGCTCGGCCGGGGAGGGTGGGGCGGGGTGGGCGTCGTTGTCGTCGTCGCCGGGCGCGGCAGCGAGGGCCTTGAAGGTGGCTTCGAAGGCGGCCTTGGCGGCGGCAGCGGTCTCCGCCTCGGACTTGAGCTTGGCCTCCTCAGCCTGGCGCACCCAGATCGGTTTGGGCGCCGCCATGGGAGCGCGGCGGCGGACGCTGCTCTCGCGTAGCCTGCCCTCAAGAAGCTCTGCTGGCCGGCTAGGGTTTGGTGGAGGGGACCAGATGCAGGGGATGGAGGGGCGCTGAGGAAGAGCAGGCGGAATCGGATGGGGCAACCAAACAAGAAGGCAAAAGAGGAAAAGGCAGCCGGCAGAGCCTCCGGAATCTGGCAATGAAAGACGGCCCAACTGGAACAAAGCCCAATAACTAAACAAAGATAATCCAATAAAAATTCCCCTTAAAATACAAGAATGAAAAAAAAATCCTTGTGTTTGGAAATCGAAATCGAATCCAAAACCAGGAAATATGTGTGTGCTTCGCTACGGAGAAAACCATATAACCACATTTAAAATTTAACCGATCGATCGTCAATTATGTAGCACTTCGTTGGGATAACAACCACTAAGGAGACCTTCAATCGCGAGATCAAGGGTTCTTTGGCAGTGAGCCCAAAGCAGTGAACCAAATGTAAAAGTTGGCGCAGCGTGTTTGGGGTGTCCGTGATGTACTGTGTAATTCACAAAAAAAGAGTAAATGACATTTGATATATCTCGTCATTATCATGAGGCACTATATTTATAGGGGATATGGGCGACACACAAATTATGCAACTCCTACAACCGATTGGGCATATTTCTCACATATCCAAGGGTAAGTTGGTCCTTGGTCCTCTCGGTCTCAACCACTCTCCTCCATGTCGAGGGTGTCGTGCCAAGCATGGGAACCTTGATGGCCACTTGTATTAAGCAAAGGTGGTCGGGTCGACAACCCTCTGCTTGGATGCGTTGGTGGTGGTCCCTCACACGGACCCACTTTCGTAATATGCCTTGGGGTGAGCACCTCCGTCGTGTGATGACCCTCACTAGGGACTTTCAATGCAAACCCTGCAAGAGAGGACCCAAGTGTGATATAAAGAGAACTTGCAGCGCTTGTGGAGTCCCGAAGGTGCTGCTCCCAATAATATCCCCTCATCCTTCGAAGCTTTGTGTTGTGCCATCTTGAAAGGTCCTAATATGGCTAGATAGGGGTGGATAACCTATTTAAAAACTCTACAAGGTACTAGAGCAATTGATTAGTACAACAAACGGCGTAAGGCAATTTTGTTCTAGCTCTACAAGGGTTGCAAGCCACCTATCCCAATAATTCTAGTTGCTATGATCACTAGACACACACAAGAGCTAAGTCACTACTTACTAAGCTAGTGTGCTCTCAAAGACTAACTAAAAAATCACACTAACCAAACTAACAAGCTCTCAAAGACTAACTACACTAAAGAGCTTGACAACTAGTTTGCACGGAATGTAAAGGAGTGAATAAGGAGATTATACCGCCGTGTCGAGGAATGAACCAATCACAATACGATGACAACCAATCACCGGGACACTAGTAGAGAATAGACTTTCGGTTCTAGGCTTTAGTCCCGACCATTTTTAGGCCCGGAGCTAAAGACAGGATTAGTCTCGGTTAGAGCAACCAACTGGGACTAAAGTCCCCTGCCCAACGGCTAGAGACGCAATTTTTGTAGGAGGGGATCTTTAGTCCTGGTTCGTGGCTCAAACCGGGACTAAAGGTCACCCTCCAATCTCGGTTGGAGCTACTAGCCGTGACTAAACCTTTAATCTCGGTTGGTAGCTCCAATCGAGACTAGAACTCTACCCGTAGTCCTGGTTTATAACACAAACCGGGACTACATGTCTCAGGCTATATACTTTCTTCTTCCTCCCCCAGCCCGAGCCATTGCAAGCTCTCTGCCTGCTCTCTGTTCTTGCTCGTGGAAGGAGTTCATGCTTGCGGGATTGGTGAAGACTTTATTCCTCCATCCATTCTTGGGTTCTAAAGGTTACCAACTTCATCCTCCCATGTTTCATCACTAGCATGGCTCATTTCGTGGTCTAGAAATAGAGAAATTTGTGGTTTTTTAAATTGAGAATGATGGTGGATTTTTTTTATTTTTATATCATTTGAGTTTGAAATCACTTGATAGTTTGAATATGAAGATGAAGGAAGCTTATAGTAGTTCATTAAAACTAGTATGCACCTTTCATTACCTCATTTCATGGTCTAGAAATAGAGAAATTTTTGGTTTTCTAGATTGGGAATAATGGTAGATATTTTTTATTTATATGCCATTTGAGCTCAAAATCATTTGATAGTTTGCATATGTAGATGAATGAATCTTATAGTAGCTCATCAAAACTAGTATGCACCTTTCATTGCCTCATTTCATGGTTTAGAAATAGAGAAATAAAATATTTTTAGTATATAGCTCATTTAATTTCATGGTTCATAAAATGAGAAATTTATAGTAGTTGATGAAAATGAGTTTAGAGACTCGTAGATGGCGACTGCTTTTGGGTCCTCGGCCTCGCATAGGGTCCCTAAGCGACTGAGGTTGGACCTCCCTCTCATTGCATGCGGCAAGTGTGGGCAGAAGACTGTGAGAGAGTACAGGGTGAAGAAGAAGGGTCCCAACCAAGGGTGCATCTTCTACACATGTCTGTATTGCGAAGTGAGTAATTTTTTTGTCATGTTTTGTTATGCTTTGTAGCCATTTTTTGTAATGAATTTGATTAAAGTTTTTGATTTGTTGTTGTAATTTCAGTGGGATGGCACTAGATCATGTGACGGTTGGTACTGGGAGGAAGAGTATGTTGAGCACGTCCAAAAATCTCTTGCAAAGGCGACTGAGGCGACTGATGAGAGTGCACCTTTGTATGATGAGGCAATGAATCGCAGAAGAATGATTTGTCTATTTTAGTTGAAATTGATCGAGAAATCCTTATTCTACTGAAGTGCATTGTAGGTTTAGTTTGTTTAGTGCTATTTAGGATTGTCTACATTGTATCAAGGCTTTAATAAATTAATGTTCGAGAGTACGTGAAATAGCTGTGTGGTATATGATATTAATTAATCATATTGATTGATGGATATTTTGGATCTTTTAATTAACTACTAATCATGCATGTTGTATAATATGGATTATTACAAGTTTTTGATGTGGTGTACGTCATGTAATGCGGATGAATCGGCAATGGATGTACAACGCAGACCGCCGCTTCCCAGAGTTCATTAGGGGCGTGCGTGAATTCATAAATGTGGCCAAGGCAAACACGTGGAATGGTTATTCTTGCTCAAGGGTCCTACACGAACACCTGTTTACGTCGGGTTTCATGCCAAACTATATTTGTTGGACTAAGTATGGAGAAAGATGTGTTATAATGGAAGAAGATGAAGAAGAAGAAGGGGATGATGACAACATTATTATTCATGGTTTTACTGAATACGGTGCCTTTGATGATACTACAATGGGGAAGCTGAAGAAGAGGTAGTGGCAGAAGATGAGTCCGTTGATGATCTTGGTCAGGCCATCCGTGATGCATAGAGAGAATGCGAAAGTGAAAAGGAGAAGATCAAGTTCGAGCGCATGCTAGAGAATCATAAGAAATTGCTATACCCGACTTGCGAAGAGGGGCAAAAAAAGTTGGGTACCACACTTGAATTGCTGCAATGTTAGGCAATGAATGGTGTATTCAACAAGGGATTTGGGGAGTTACTGACTATCGCAAAGAAGATACTTCCAAAGGCAAACGAATTGCCTACCACTACATACACAGCAAAATAGGTCGTCTGCCCTCTAGGATTAGAAATCCAAAAGATACATGCATATCCTAATGACTACATCCTGTACTGCGATGAGTATGAGAATTTGGATGCATGTCCAGTATGTCATGCATTACGGTATAAGATCAGGCGAGATAACCCTAGTGACGTTGAGGGCTGAAAGCATCTAGGCCCCTAGTTGGGTTTCGGTGATTAATGACAATACGAGATTACTGTGACTAACGTATGTTTTACAGATGCAATTAAGTTAGGTCATGTTAATGACAATTGATTGGGCAATCATGGTTGTCATGCCCCTATGATGGAAATCATTTTGGTTTTCAAAGGATGGACGACAAAGTTAAGGATGGACTAGTTCTAAGTGTCGTTTGGTGTTGAGGAGACACTTAGAGTAGTTTTAGGACTTTATTTTTCCTTTGGCCGTACTATTAAGGGGGGTATGGATGAATAGCTTAACCTAGGTGAGTCTAGTGGGTTAGGTGTGGTGCACACTTATCAAATCTAGCACTAGGTAGCTCCTAAACAGCCCTTAGATCAATTGAAGCAAACTTCATTCACATATGATTGCAAGTTGGAAATGAATGGAGGGTCAAATGTTGACCGGATGCTGGTTTCGGTGTGACCGGACGCTGGCGTAGAGTCCGGTCAGTTCATTTAATCAAGGTGAAGTCGTCTGGATGCGATCAGACGCTGAGTGAAATGTGACCGGACACTGGGTGCTAGAGTCCGGTCAACTCCAGTAAAGTTCCAGAGAGGGAGAATTCTGATCGGACGCGTCCGGTCAGTGCTAACCGGACGGTAGTTAGGTTCCAGCTATTGATCGGACGCTGAGCAACAAAGTGACCGGACGTTGGGTGCCAGAGTCCGGTCAACATTAGTAAGGTTCTAGAGGGTAGTTTTTGTGATCAGACGCATCCGGTCAGTGCTGACCGGACGCTGTCCAGTGTCCGGTCACAACTTAACTGCTCGGTGGCGGGGAGAACTGACCGGAGCACCCGGTTACCCCGCAGAGGCACATAACGGTTCATTTTGAATGAGGGGTTATAAATACTTCCTCTATTCACTCAAGGCTCATTACAACAGCTGAGAAACATCCTTGAGAGTGTCAAGAAGAGCAAGGTCCTAGTGAGGTGATTGAGATTTGAGAATCCAAGTGAGAGGCCTCATTAGTGAAAGCAAGAGTAGCAAAGTGTGCATCCACCCTTCTCATTAGGCTTGTCGTGGTCAAGTGAGAGTTCGTGCTTGTTACTCTTAGTAATCGCCATCACCTAGACGGCTTGGTGGTGATTGGGAGCTTGGTGATCATCCGGCGGAGCTTATGGATGACCCGACTCAAGTTATGAGCGGTTGTGGATGA